TTCAGCTCTAAAATCAATAAAAATATACTTTTTTAAAAAAGAGGCTTAGCCTCTTTGGCTCAGTGGATAGAGCATCCAACCGATAATGAAAGGGTCCGGGGTTTGATTCCTGTCAAGGGCACATGCCTCCATTATAGGCTTGACCCCTGGACCTGTTGGGGAATGTGAGGGAGGCAACCAATCGATGTGCCTCTCTCACATACATGTTTCTCTTTCTCTGTCTCTCCCCCTTCCTTCCACTCTCTCTAAAAATCAATGTGAAAAAAAAAAATCCTTGAGCAAGGATGAACCAAAAAAAATTTAAAAAGAAAAGAAAAGAAAAAGAAACTTTCAAGGAGCCAGGCTCACAAAAGGGCCACAATAAATGTTTGTTCTGCCTTTTCCCAGACACATGGCCTAAAACCAGCCCCAATCCGAGGTTCTCACCGAGGAGTCACTGTCTACTCCAGCCGTCCCCAAACTCAGCATGAGCATGGTTCACAGCCTGCTTCTTGGGGTCACTCTGCTGTCCCCAGCTAATGCACAGCACTCAGGGAAGGCCCCTGCTTTCATGTTTTCTGTTTCCCCCACAGGGCCAGGCACTGTACCAATCCCAGAGGTGGCCCTAATAGATATTCTGTTCAATTCCTGCAGAGCCCATTTGGTGTCCCTGTGGAGGAGACGGAGCTCTGGGTGCCTCCTCAATACCAGCTCCCTCTGTGGGCCCTCAGCCAGCAGGAAAGTCCCCTGGCCCAGAGCCCAGCCAGGCCTCCCTCTGGGGACACGAAAAGGAAAGGAGGCTCCCACTGACTCTGGAACCAGAAAACGGAGTCCAGATTCCTCTTTACGTGGAGACTATCGTTTCTGAAATATCTCTGGATGCGTCTTTCCCTTTGTGGTCATCCAGCAGGCAGCCACCAGGTGGGAGGGCCCCACCCAAATCAGGCAAGAGCCCCTCACCTCCACACCACCTGGACCTCAGCAAGGGCAGCCAGGGCTGTGCGAGCCTTGGAGGGCGCTCGGCCTCTGAGAAGATGTGAAAGTTTTCCCTGTGCCCCAAAGTCCCCTCTTGGGTGGGAGACAGTGCCCAGGAGATGTTTGTATTTTGAATTGCCTTAGTATTTTCTAGGAATGAACTTGAAACAGAAAGAGATCAAATTACATCTGAGGCCAAGTTTAAATATTTCCACATCAGCCAAATAGGGGCCACGGAGTAAAGGAAGGCCGTTCTGGGAAGTAAAGGAGGCGTTATTTTTGCATCTCTGGGTCTTTGCGTGCAAAGTTCAATCCTAGACCATAAAGATCTGCCCCTGGGCTGGCCCGAGACTGTGAGCTCCTGCTCTCCCTGTGTCTATGGGTAATCTATTTTAATGGTGTACAGATGCTATTGGCAGAGGGCAGGGGTACTATGCAGTGTTGGCAGGGACGGGGCCCTACTCTTCAGCGTCCCCTGAGCCAGGCACAGGCAGCTTGGACAGTGTTGGGTGAGCCAGCCCGAGCTGACAGGCGCCATGGTTTCCTAAGGGGCAAGGCTGGGGGAAATAACAGTTTCAGGTACCTGGTTCCATTGGAGTTAAGAACAGTTCCTTGGATAGTGATCACATATCCATACTGGAGACCCCCTTCAATGGCAAGTGACTGTAGAGAGAAGAAGGCAGTCAGTTAGGGCCCTGCTCCTGTCCGTTCCCTCTGGCACTTGCTAGTGGCCGGCCTGGTGTGTCAGGCACCATGCCAGGGGCCAGATTCAGCTTGAATTGCAAATATGGAGTCCTAGTCTCATGGATCTTCCCACCAGTGAGGAAGCGGACGGACCTGAATCTGGGGAGTCACACATTCATTCTGAGACTGATAAGGAGACCGCAGGGCTCTGAGACGATGTAACCCTGAGCTGACCTCTCTTAGGAGGAAGTAGCAGCTTTCAAGAGGAGGAAGTAGCACAAACATGACCCCGAGAGGGGAAGGAACCAGGGTAGTGAGAGGGGCTCCTGGCAAAGGCCCCAGGGCCCTGGTTGCAGACTTCTGCTCCCTGAGAAGGCCAAGAAGAAGGCATCCTCCTGCCCACCCCGCCATAGAACGGTGGGGACCATGACCTTTGCCCTCCCAGCCACCGAAGGTAGCACCTGGATGCTCTGTATCCTCTCCTGCTCCTGCTCCCCAGTCCCTCCCCAGGCCCTGGCAACCTCCGAGGCCCTAGTGAGGTGTCTGCACTCCTCCTCGGCCCCATAGAGCCCGTTTTGTTAAATCCCTTCCCCGGCCACCTGAAAGGACAATGCTTATGGTGAGGCTTGCATCGTTTTAGAGCCAGGCATCATCCAGGTTTGGAGCCTAATTCTGCTGCTCATTTCCTGGGTGACCTCAGGGAGCTTATGTCACCTCTTTTGCCTCAGTTTCCTCATCTGTAACATAGGGGTACATCTGACCTTCTGCGTAAGATCAATGAGTTAGTGAGAAAAGGGCTGGGGAAGAGACTGGCAGATAGTAGGTGTCTCTACCACACCCTTCCCTCTTGGTCTCTCTGAGCAAAATTTCACATTGGTTTCTTGACCTTTTAAAGCTAACCTCAGGATGCCTTTTATCTGATGTGATCTTAACCTGCATTACTTAGCAGATAACTACCAGCTCCTAGTCAATCTTCACATTTCTCTAGTAGTTAACGTCTTCTCTAACTTCTCCTTTAAGCCAGCTCCCTACAGAACTGAAATGCTTATAGGAGCCAGGCAGGTGATGTGTAGGAGGGAGATGGTCAGGTAGGGGCAATAGGGAGTGGCAGAGACCATGACAAAGTAGACACCATGTCTCTCATCTAAAGGAACAGTGTCCTCTCACCTCTAACCTGGACGAATGAATTAATTTAGATGGATTAACCCCTCTGCTGGGTCAGAGCTTGCTCTCAGCTCCTGGCCAGGCCTGGAGGCTGAGGACTCTTTCCTCCTCTTCCTCTCTGGAGGCTCAGACAGCAGAGCCTGGCCCCCAGGCCACAGGATGCACAGCCTCCTTCTGGAGGCACAGTGTCCCCAGCGGGCACCCAGCCACAGCTGGCACAGGGGGCTCACTGCAGGGCCAGTGGGAGCCTTTCAGGCAAAGAGGCTGCTGCCCCAAGGGTTCTGAGGTGCTTCTGGGCCCATTT